TGCTATTGTAAAAAGTACACTTGTTCCTAGACATGATGTATGAATTTGTTGATTATATTTGTATGGTGTGTTCGGTAGGCTATTAAGGTAGATCTTAGTTAATAAAATATTGTGAAAACCAGGATGCAATATAATTCCGGCAGTGAAGGTCATCATCTCATCGACGCCACCTCTAACTACCGGCGGTGGTCTAGTAGTGACCGCCAATGGTTATGCATTGAACCGTCGTTGATCAATTGCTCACCATTGCCAGATTGGACCACTGACCGGTGGTGATCAAGCTAGTCATCACCAGACTACACCACTGATCAGCGGTGAAGAAATCATCAACACCGCCCTTGTTGATGTCTGCACCGGTGGTGATCAAAAGCTCATAAACGCCGGATCATTTGTAAACTGACAGCGACTATAGGATCAAACACTAGATCATACTGCGACCTAGCAATGATCATGCCATTATCATAGACGTATTAAACTCTAAAGCAGCAATGATAGCATACTATCACAGTCGGCTGTGAATCGCGGTGAAGTCCATTGCCATTACCATCGATGTTTCACTGCTGAGGGTCAGAATCGGCAGCAATGGGGGTCTGAACCAGCTATATGGCCTATCGATAATAGTGAGAGGAAGGAGACACTACTACATTTTAAAACAAGGATATTATAATACATTCATCAATGTGTTCTAAGGAAATTTTATAGTAACATAAAACTATGTGTTACAGACATGAGTTATAGCACAAAACACTTATTTTATAAAAATATGTTACTGACAACAATTATAGTAACACAAAATTAATGTTACAAGTAAAATATTACAAAAGTGATACTTTATTGTAACATATAAATCATCTAACAAATATATGCTCTATAATAACACAAAATAATGTTACAGTCCAAAATCTGTTACTACTTAAAATATATGGACAGGTTTCGTCCAACAAAAGAAATCATGCATGCGCCTTGCTTGTTGGGCCCCACCACTGTCCACAGTGCCCACGAGGTCTCTGACTCTAAATACGGATGCACCTTGCTTGCTGGGCCCCACCACCGTCCGCAGCTCCCGCGAGGTCTCCGACTCTGATAGGCTCCTGAGGTCTCCGACTCTGAAAAATGCGGCGATGCGGACCGCAGGCATGGGGACGAGGCGGAGAACAGGTGCGAGCATGAAGGCAAGGGCGCGCGGGCGCTGACGGCGATGCGGAGCACGGCATGGCCTCCTCTAGTCCTCCGCGCCTCCTCCGTGTGCACGGGCGCGGGTATCTCTGTGTGGCTCCATGCGTGCAGAGGCGAGTGAACAAAGGAAAGCTCTAGGCGATGGATAAAGAAAGCTCTAGAAGAAAGTAAAATAAATAAGAAAAAGTAATGAAACAATAAAAATATAAGGGTATGGCTCTACCAGTTAAAGTGCAAAAAATACCCTTAATACATGGATTACTATTGTTGTTTCTTATATGTGAAGTCTTACAATTTGTAGATGATGGGATGCATCAAACAACCAAAATATGGATCCTAACAAAACAAATGATTGGATGCATAGGAACGATTTCATGCAACGCACAGGCATTTATCTAGTAAACTTATACATGTGAACCTTCCAATGCATAGGTGACATGGCGGATAAATATATATCACTTCTAAGGTTTATCGGCTGTCACTTTGATTGACATGTTCTCTCTACATTTCAAAATGTACTAGATACATTACTTTTACTATATATTTAGACGTATTGTATATCTAAGTGTATAGCAAAATATATATTTAGAAAAGCTAGACATCTTATATTTTGGAATGTAGGCATGTAGGGAGTATGAATTGAACTTTGAGGAATGATGCTTCTTAGAATTCTGATGAGATTCCTACAAACTTTCAAATAGCACATACCAGATAGAATTGACATCATGCAATTGTATTCACTCTCTGGCGCTAAAATGAAATTGCTGAAGAATACAAGACATATTATGAAACAAATTTCAATCGTTTCATACTTAAACAGTTAAATTTAGCTTTTTTGTATACTTTTTTCTTGAATACATAAAAGATTTGCGCATCTTTATAATTAAAGTAGAAATGTTTGATACAAATGACGCGCTTCTGCGAGTGCCCTAGGAGGTCTACAGGATTACTGTCGTGGGGTTGACCATCCTAGCATACACATACAGATTTTGATATTACACAAATGATAGACAACTAGGATAAGGGCAGCGACACGACTTAGGAAGCGGGCTTGCACTTCCGTTCATGCCTGCGCGACTCAATCCTGACGCCATGGAAGAGCACTTCTAGCGCTTCAGCGATGGAAGCCTTGGGCTCGGCCTCGTAGAGCGCCTCGTAAACCTTCTTCACCGATACGCTTGGTGTTGATAGACCTATGTCCAAACCCAATCGTTGCATGAGTAGGATATCTCACCTCACTTGGAAGTAGCAGGCATCCGAGAGAGGTTTTGAGCTGCTAGACGCTTGCTTTGCAGCAGCAGCACTGCCTTTGCAAGCGGCGGCTTGGGCGGCTCGTGAATTACCGGGAGGCCTTCTTACACGTCACTTTCTTGATGAAGTTCTCGAGGCGGCGGTTGGCGGAGGCATTGTTCTCCATGGTCTAGTGGTTATCCACCGGCACCGTACTAGGAGGGCCAGCATCTGCTATGAGATCGACCAGACCGAAGCCAGGTGGGTAGCCCATTTTGTGCCCCGTGGATCATTGACCTATTTGTGCCCCTACTGAGGCGACACCGGTGGCGAGTTTGCTACGCACTGAGTGGGGCGCAGTGGTTTAGTCTGCAGCACCAAGTCAGCATGTTGGGACGACGTCTGTTGCCTTCCTGGAAGGCTGCATGTGCAGGTAGGAGACTAGCACCATGGCCTCATCCTCCAGCTGGCGGCCGCCGGAGCTGCAGCCCGGCTCCCAAGTGGAGGGCACGTGATGAGTTGGCTGGCGGTGAATAAGGCTACGAACTCCTCTTGCATCGGGTCCTCCATGGCGGCGTGACTAGCAAGCGTGTCATGAGACCGCAGGGTAAGCACCAGCAGGTCAGGCAAAGAGAATGCGTGGTCCATTGGCCGGCTTGCCACAATCTGCTAGAGCGGCTGCTGCACCGCCGGAGGAGCTTGTCGGCACAACCAAGTTGTCATCCCCCAGCCGCCTCCAGCGTCTCCTACATCAGTGTCGTCGCCCTTCGTTGTCATGTGCAGCATCAACCGGCTCAGGCACAGCTCTGCCCGAGCCCTTCGGCACAGCGTGGGTGGTTGGAGGGCCCGAGGTGTGGCACGACGAGGTCCACCCATGATGGAAGCACCGATTCTTCACCACCCGGTGTGAGGAAGGAGGCAGTTGAGGCACTTCCCATGTCAGTCTGGCAGTAAGCGAGCATGGGGCCAATGACCAGTAAGCGGGCATGGGGCTAACAACCAGCTGGACGCGCTGATCGTGCCCTGTCGCTCCCACTTGATGTCCCCACGACAGGACTTCACACCATTCGTCAGCATCCGGAGTGAAGATGCGCTTGTGGGCGTCAGAGGGAGGCTGCAGTCCGAGCCGCGGGTGGCCCAGCCCGCGTCGTGCACAATCGCGTACAACCCTCCTGATTCCACCGCCATCGTCCCTGGCTCTAGAGTATGGACAGGAAGCCCACGAACCATGCGTGGGCGTGGCCGACGATGGTTGGGGCACTTGCCCCGCTCGCCCCCCGACACGTGACTCGATGGTGGCATCACCATGTGCGCCTCCATTGATGGTGGAGCACGGTTGGGCATTCTCCAGCAATGGCGACGTCCATAGCTACGACCCCAGCCGAACTGTGTTGAGGTAGGCGGTTGAGGAGATGGCTGGCGACAACTCCGCATCAGAGGTGTCAAGGTCCTCCTCTGCCCACCGCAAGCCTGGGAATGCCCCATCGAGTTCCTCCAGTGGAAGGGGAGGCAAAGGGGACAGCGAGGATGCTGGGCTCGAAGAGTGGTTGGTCATCCTATCCCTGCGCACTGGGCCAGGGCGACAAAGCTGAGCTTGACGAGCTGGGAGCGGAACGGTGGACAAGGAAGTCGTCGATTCCTAATACCGAAGGAGGCCGCTATGGCGAGCTAGGGGACGAGGCCACCGTCTTAGGTGCACCCGCAGTTGCTGGCAGAGGGAAAGCCTTCATGGGCACCTTCCCAACCGTCGGCGAGGTCATGCCGTCGTGGGCTATGGCGGCGATAGCAGCTGCCGTGCGGCAGTCTCCCCATCGTCGGCGGTAGCGGATCATCCCACATGGGATCCGGCCATCTCCTACATGGGCATCGGCGACTGCAGCGGTTGCGGATGCACCCGCACAAGGACTTCCCGCACAAGATCTGCTCTTCTCCTTCGTGGGCAGCGGCGGCTGCGGAAGTGGCCACGCACCATCTCCGGTGGTCGTGGATCCTCCCGGTCGGGAGCGGATGGCCTTCTCTAAGGGTGGCTGCGGCGACGGCACCGTAGACCTTCACTAGCCTTGGCACGATGTACGAGAGGGGTGGCCAGGGCGTGGGTGGAGATGGGGGAGGGGAGGGGATGGCGGGCGCCAGTGCCGGGGCGGCGACCAGCGTTGGCGGTGGCAGGGTAGAGGAGGCGGCCACCACGGGGCGACGCCCTAGGATTGGGTACACTGGATCCCTGCTGGTGGGCCTGCCATATCCTTCAACGCCAGCAGCCGCGTAATGCCGCGGAGGGGGGCACGCGGGGGATGGAGAAAGGGGCCGGAGGGGAGGGGGAGGTGGGTGCCGCAGTCGGGGCTGCAGCCGGCGCCGGCGCTGGCGGGGGGGGGGGGGTGGGGAGCCAGGGGCTCTAGGGTTTCCCTAGCGCCCAGTTCGCTCTAGATAGAAAATTAAATGCATGCTTCTTTTGTATACATAGATTACAAATGAATAGATTATGCGTTCATAGAAAGATAACTTTCACAGTTTTATTAACTACACATACTCAGCACGCAAACAAGACCTTTTCCAAGGTTCATAGGGGTATCTTAAAACCTTATTAGTCAAAGTATTCACTTGGCTACTTTGTATGTGCCTACAGGGTATCGGTGAATGCAATCAGCCCATGGACCATCGAGGTTGCTGGCAGACTGGATGCACTTCCACACGACACTATTGCACTTGAATCCTGATCCAAATCCAATCATCCATACCCGATCACCCTTCTTTATCCGATTCTTAGCATCGATGTATCCAAGCTCATACCAGATCGAGCTACTCGATGTATTTCCAAATCGGTGCAGCGTCATACGTGATGGCTCAACGTCCTCGTCTGATAGACAAAGGCTACGCTGGACAGCATCAATTACCGCTCGCCCACCGGCGTGGATGCAGAAGTGCTCGAAGGCCATCCGGAAATCAGGTACATAAGGCTTTATCCTTCTCTTCAGCAACTTTCTTACAATTACTGATAGCACAAATAGTAGCTGCTCTGAGAATGGGAGCACAAGGGATCCTATTGCCGAGATGTTGGCCTGCAGCGTGTCGCCAGCAACGATTACAAGGTCTTTGGACAGGTTCACTCCTATTTCACCTGTGTCATCCTCCTCTTGGGATGCACACTGATAAGATTTATCTTGGGCAGCAGTGGTTGTGCGTGCAGTGTGCATGAGCTTGAACCGTGACATAGACTTAGATGTCGACAATAGCATTGCAGCCCCACCAATCCGGAATAGAACATTTGGCAGTAGCATTGCACGATTCCTCCCTGAGTAGAAGAAGAGGGAGATGATCTCCGTGGAAACCACCAGTGCATGTGCATTCCGGGGGGCAGACCGCAAGAGATTTTTTGCAACTTCCACCGAGATCAACCCTGCACTGCACCCCATCCCAGCGATGTGGATGTTACGAACGTCACCGCGTAGCTTGTACTTGTTTACAATCATGTCAACCAAGGATGGCACTGGATTGAAAGCACTACAGTTCGTGACGACTATGTCAATTGTCTTGGGATTGATGCATGTCTTAGCAAATAAGTCATCAATGGATGAAAAAATGACCTGCTCCGCCTCGCTACGGGCATCATTGAAAGTGTGGAATGGTGGAATGTAGTGGGTACTATTGGGAAGGTAGCTCTGATCACCAATGCCTGAGTGCTCAAGCATGCGCGTCATGAAATGAATGCTGTTATCATCGAGGGATGGCATGTGATGAAGGTGTTCGATAAAAGAGGCCATTGAGACACGACAATTAGCTGTATGACGGAAGCAAGCATAGTCCACAAGGTATACACGGCGAGAGGCGTACATGAAGTAGACGAGGATACCTAAGCCAATTGAAAGGAGGAATGTGAGCAGAAACAGATGGGCATGCCGCACTGCATGTAACCATATGAGAATCTCGGCAGGGCCTAGCTGTGCGCCTTTCCGCAATAGGATGGTTGCAAATAGCGCAGCAACAGTGACAACAAAATTGTTCACGACAAGTTGGAAGACGTATTTTAGGAGCTTGAGACTGAGTAGGGAGTTCATGTTGTTGAGCTTGGCTCATGCATTCGTGTTTTGAGACAGATTATATTGGACGGTATGCAAGATTTTAAAGGGCGTCTTTCATAGCATTTATTCATTACCATTAAAACCTCATGGAGAACATTTGAGGCAACTAAAAAGCATGCCTTCATACGTCAAACACTTGAAAGAGGATGTGCATGCCATGTACTGTGTCACTGCCTAGAATAAGTTGGGCATATGTATATAAAACCTTCAAAAATATTGGATCATGGTCTAAATGCTAACTTTATCATCACCTTTGTAGTTTAGTTCAATTTGGGGCTAGTAAGATCTTTGCAGTATATATATTACAATATTTCCATCACAAATTTAATTACATGTAATATTTCTGTGTGGTAGATCAAGGCACAGATGACTCTCTGTATACTTTCGAGAACGTGGAAACAAAACTGTGGATGAACAAAGATCATTTTTGGGATATGAAGTGTCAACAGCATGTACCGGATATCGTACTATCGATGTTGTTAGTTGTTGGCAGGGCAGTTGCTTAAATTTTGTTGGCATGTAGGGTCTAAAGAGAACTCTGGCATATGGAAATATATTGATGCATGGAATGTGCGTTGCAAGTAAAATGTGTCTCTCTAAACTTGAAGGGAATTTCTATTACTCTGTGTCACCACTTCAACTTGGTGGTTGTTTGAAGTTTGCAGGTCGTTGATTTGGTGGATTCAGAACCGTAACTCTGGCATTAAACTGATATGCACATTATATACGTCCTCCAAATGGCAACACACCTCCCTGCTCTTATAGTTGGTGATTTTAGCATCATGAGAAATATATAGTACGAAGAAAATTAATGACCATTAGCCTTTTCTATTCAATGTAGTTATTGACAGCTTTAATTTGGTCTTAGGAAAATTGACTTAACAAATAAATAATGCACTTGATGAATTCTTTGCCTAGTCCCAAAATGTTTAGGGGGCTTACTAGCGAGTTAGGGGACTCCATTGTGTATATACATGCTCTAGAGAGTGGTGTTGTAGACTATATGCCATTGGCATTTGATACTAGGATGACAACTTTCACAAAAAATTGAAAACAATGGAAGTTCAGACTTTGTTGCTTCACTAGTGATGATTTGTATGATTGTGTGCTAGAAATTTGGAATAAATAGGTAATGAATTTGGCCCAATGTTGCTAGCATAGTACTTACTCAAGAGCAAGACATGTCTTGCTAGAACTTATATCTAGGTGGACAATTCTCACTGAGATGTTATCATCTGACGATTCGCACTGATGTTCCTAACACTATCCCAGAACAGCCAATCTATGCTGGGTCTCAACCCCTCATCATTTGGCGATTCACACTGATGTATTTTTCGGATTCGAACTTGAAACCTCAACACTCATGTTTCCTCAAGCACACGAACCAACTAAGCTACGCGACACATGTGACTATAAAGTTGATGCTATTCTTTTAACTACATAATTTAGAATATTATATTATATATTTGACACTCCAAACGTTCTCAAATGAAAAAGTTATTAACCACCAAGTTGTAGATCTCGTCAAATACTACAACTTTGTTGTTGACTTTGTCACCATTTGACATTGTTAATCATTTCAAATCTGATCCAAGAATTTATATTAAATATTTAGACTTATAAACAATTCTAAATTAAAAAGTTGTCAACTACAAAATTTTAGATATCTTTAAAATCTTAAATTTTGATATAAAATTTATCTTGATCTGATCTTATATGAAAAATTATATTTTTTTATGCAAAAAAGACAATCACTAGCGGTTCAAGCCATGACCCGACAGTCCGCAACCAGAAGTTATAGTAACTGGCTGCGTACGGTTGTAAAGACTGAAAATTTTCCATTTTCCAAAAAAAAATATAGATGTACGGGAGATCGTACTACTAAAATTGTTGGCTGTTGGCAACTTGGCAGGGTGGTAGCTGAAAATTTTGTTGGCCGATGGGGCTTAGAAAAGAGAAGCTGGCAGTTGGGAACATATAGAGTAGATGCACGCTGTCGCAACATGCAAATAAATTGCGTGTCGCTAAAAACATTGGGGATTTCTTTCAGTTCGGTGTTATTTTGTCTGGATCACACCTGGTCGCGACCACTTGAATTCGGCGGCTGCGTGCTTCAAGTTTGCAGGTTGTTGATTTGGCGGGGTTTCACCGTAATTCTGACATGAAACCGAAATGCACGTAACATACGTCCTGCACATAGCACGGGATCGACGGGCCAAATCCGCGTGCTCAAAGCGCCATGGCCCCTTGTCCATCAGATCAGCGCCACGTGGCACAGCGGTTCACCCCTCATGGGGCCAGGAGCGGCACAGCCCGCGCGTTAACTTCACTTGCCGACGCATCGACCAAGCTCCATCAAGTGTCTGCACCGAGCGTCACCCTACCAAAAAGGTGGAATTCTCCTAGTGTTTTTAAGTAGTAGTAAAACACTAGCAATAGTCATAGCATATGGGACTCCTCACTAGGAGACATTTGGTAGAGAAAGTTTATACTAAATTTTGAATGCTAAAACACTAGGACAAGCCTACATCACTAGGAGAATTAGAAAATTCTAGTTGTGTCAGTTGGAAGGGCGCGTGGAGAAACCACCCCACCCACTAGCAGAAGGCCCCACGATGGTCTCGGGGGCTGTGTCAGCCCCTCCGCTAGGGATTCTGAGACCCGACAACTGATGGGCGCCCCATGAACCCTCCCCGAGCGTGATGAAAGATCAGAGCAGAGGGCACTGAGCGGTGGACCCAACGAGAGCCACCTGAGCCCGATGTGAAGAACGTGCCGGCCACTGCTAAGTGCAGCTCGAGCCAAGGATTGCTACCGAGCGTCGGAACGGCACCAAGCCAGGGCCCCGACACACCAATCATTCGACCCACGGAGGCCAAGGTAAGCGGGGTGCCCCACACGGGCTCGGAACTGGCGGCTCCTCGACGAGTCAGCTAGGCCCTCGCTTGGGCTTTCCTCACACAATGCTCGAACCAAGCATCACCGGGCTCAAAAGCTGAGCGCACAACAAAAGGCTCGGGCGCCCCTACAAGGGTGTCTGACCCAGACAGCCAAGGCTATGACCACCCTGGTTGACCCGGTCACCAGAGATCAGGTTCAGCCCCTCGTTGTCAACGTGGACTCGACCTAGAAGGCTACAAAGGGCTCAGGGGTTCCTGATGAGAGTCAAACACAGGGGTATGCTAAGTCCTCTAAACAGGAGAGCCAACAAATGGACCCCCGGACCAATCTCATAGAAGGAATCAGCAAGAGCTAGAGCACGATTGTGGCCACTGCTCGGGGCTTGGGAGCTCGACAGTGCCCCGGAACGTCGAGCAACGGCAGCCCGAGCATGAATTCGACCCAGCACATACCTGAGCCAACGCTTGAACGACGAACCAACGTCCTGAGCCATGGGCAACCTGCCAGGCATCCGAGGCCTGGTAGTTAGGGAGATTCCACGTCGTCTGCTCATTCAACGAGAGCGAGGCCTTGTCGGCCACTTCTTCGACAAGGTCACGCAACTAGTGTGACACAACAGGACAAATGACTTCACCAACTCCTAGGGTAGCGGGTTCCAGGGCCCAATCGTCAACCCCTTAGGCCGGAGTTCCTTCATAGCCAAGAAAGCCTCGTGAAGGTTCATTCGAGGGAGGCCGCGCCGCAGCAGACAGCTCGGATAGTCAGGAGCCAGGCGGTGGCTGCAGCATCAGGCAGCGGCTACAGCTCCATCGACTCCTCCCTACGCAACAAAGGCGATGTCCATCCACGCCGCGACAAGGTACTCGTGCACCCTGGTGTACATGGAACAAAGACTAGAACCCAAAACCGACATGTGCCCGATGTACCCCTCCTTGGAATATAAGGGCAGGGTCGGCTCCTATAGACAGTGGAGGATCGAACAGTAGATAATTCCCAAACAGACAAACTTGATAACCCAGCTAGAGAAGGCCACTTCCTTACTCGCTAAGGAAGAACACCGACAAACCCGTAGGATAGCACCGAGCGATCTCCTATCAAACTCCCGATCTCCATCATTGTAATCCCCAATTTGGGTGCTTTGAACACGAAGAACACTACACTGCTTAACGTAGGGCTTAGAAGCCCAAACAAGGATAGATTATTGTGTCTCCCTTATGTTTTTGATTGCTCGAGCCACCGGAGACCCACATCAACATCTAACGAACAACCACGATACTTGACGCGGTTATGGACCTGTGACATATGTGTTTGGCAAGAATGGATGGCAAAGTAATAATAGACCTGCATATGATTTTCTCCGGTTTGAGTGCAGACTACTACATAATTCATAATCACCGCCGCCACTTTTACCGGCGGTTTGCTGAAAACCGGCGGTGGTACTCATCACCGTCGGTTCGTATTATGAACCGTTGCTGAAATGATTTTCAATGCCGCTTCGTATTATGAACCGTTGGTGAAAATGAGGACGATTATCACCACCAACGGGTAACATGAACTGTTGGTGATGACCTATGATTACAGGCGGTTTGTGTTACCAACCGGTGGTGTGGTTGACCCATTTTTACTACTGGTTGGTGGTACCAACCGGCGGTGAAAATCATTTCACTAACGGTTCGTAATACAAACCGGCGGTGATGAGTTATGGTGCATCACAATAAAATTCATAACTTTTTCAAACAAAGTCGAATAAAAACAAACTTTATATCAAAGTTGTAAGTTTTTTACTTTTTATTTGAAATTATTTATGGTCCCAAAATTCTGTTTGATGCTCTTATATTTTAAAATTCAATTTTTTTGAATTGTACAACAACCTTAGATGAAAATAATCAAAAACAAAGTTGTAGATCTCGCTGTGATCTACATCTTTGTAGTTGGTAACTTTTTTATTAGAAATCATTTAGGGTCACAAATTTGTATCTAAAGTTCTAAAATTTTGACATTCAAATTTTTTAAAGGACCTCGGATGGAAAATTGATCAAAAGCAAAGTTTTAGATCTCGTTGAGAACTACAACTT